GTGTAATTATTAGGTCTAGGTTTAAAGGCTAAAAAGCCTTAAACTGGGAGAGAACTTTAAAATTTTGTGGAAGTTCTGTAAGCTTTAAAAAGATTCTTCACTCTGCTACTTAACTTCATGACACTCTTCAAAGTAAATGTTCTTTAATGCTTATTCCTTCTTTGGCTGTCTTTCATGTACAGAATGTTTAAGATCTACCCACAGATTTTCAGTGATGTTAAAGTCAGGGGACCATGATGGCCTCTCCAAGAGCTTCAGCTTGCGTTTCTTGGAATAGCTCAAGTTGGATTTTGAGGCATGTTTCGGATCATTATCCTGTCATAAAGGCCAACCTCAGTTTCTTGTCTGACTGTGGAATCTATTTCTCCATCTACTTGTGCAATGTTTCATGTGCTGCCTGCCTGTACTGGGTGCAACTCAACCCAAAAACATAATAAATCCTCCCCCATGCTTGACATTTGCAAGGCATTCTTTTCATCAAATACTGTTACTTTTTTCCCCAAACATACATACATTAGTGATTGTGGTTTCTTTACTTCATCAGTCCACAGCACTTGGCTTTCCTAGATGTTGTTTTGCATACTTAAGATGTTGACCTTCGTGAAGCAGATAAGATGTCTCTTCCATGCAGATCATGTTTGTATAAGCAACTTGGCACAGTAGAACAGTGCATCAACAAAATCCAGAGTCAGCTAAACCTTTTTGAGGTCCTTTGCTGTCATGTGGGGGTTTTGCTTTGCCTTTCTTACAGCATACAAGCAGTTCTGTCTGCGAGTTTTCTTGGTCTTCCAGATCTTGCCTTGACTTCCACAGTTCCCCTTAACTACCATTGCTCAATGACATTTCAGACAGTGGTAATTTCAAGCTTTGTAGCCCTCAGTTAGCTTCATTTTCAGATCCTCAACCAGCTGCTTAGATGAGCTTAGATTTTTAGATGCTTAGATTTTGAGTGTTTTTAGACATCACCCAGCCCTAATACTCAGCATGTAGTAGCAGTAAGTACTGAGATCAAATAGGTCATTGTGTGAGCCACTGAAAGTCTCAGAGGGTCCAAATCTCTCATTTGTTCTTTTGCTGACAATTCCACAACACAAAAAAGCACTGTTCAGAACAAACGAGAGAAAGACAGAGAAAAGAGCGGCATTGTTATTTGTGCGAACAGAGAAGATAGAAGATTTTTTCCCTCTTTTTGTGGTAGTTATAATGAGTGTATTCAGAGAGAATAAGGGCGATGGACCGCTGTGTGAAGGCCGAGCGGAGAGAGGTCCGTAATCGAACACTTGCTGGACAATAGCAGCAGCACGGGTGACCCAGACGACTGCTAAAGGCTTTCAGTCTTTCTCTCTCTCCGTTCCTCCCTCTCTCTCTCTCTCTTTCTACCCCCGTGAGCTGGTCACCTGCTGTTTGACAGACAGATCTCCACAGTGCTGAGTGATGGGCGCTGGTGCTGATCTGGTTACAGCTCTCACAATCCTCCTGTCAGGATATTTGGTCCCCTACATACAACGAACGCTGCCTGCCAAAAGTTTGGAGAACCAGTTTTATTTTGTCCGTTTGCAATGTTAAATCCACAAACTCAACACTGAAAAAAATAAATATCGTTAATCGTTATGGTTTCTGCGCAATTTTCTATTAAATATATATTGTCCTATTTTTTCCTGATTCTGTAAAATTAATAACATGTACTTACTGGTCATTTGGTTTTGAAATACAGTTTTATAAATGAAGTATCTCTGACTTTTGTACTGTATAAGTAAGTATTTATGACTACAACATAAAAACAATTTTGTCAGTGTATAGTGAGGAAAACCCAGAGTGGGCCTGTCACAATTTGGAAAATTTAGCTGACAATTAATTGTCATATAATTACACTGAACGATTGAATTGTCTTTACTTGTGTATTGAATGCAATCTAAAGTGGCCAGATTAGCTGATTAGCTAACTGGTATTATAGGTAGGTTAGCTTCCCTGCTAGAAGGACCAGCATTTGTTGTGTTTTGGATGCTTTGTATGCTGGTATGCTGGTCAACCATCATTACCATGCTGGGTGACCAGCTCAACCAGTGCCAGAACCAGCATAAACCAGCATCGAATTTTTTTGTCAGCAGGGTTAGCATAGCTAGCACTGGTTGTACTGTGCAAATTGATACACTACAATGTTGACAGATGTCTGCAGTTATACAGAAACGTGTAGTGTCAAGCAAAAATACATATAAATATATAAGCAAAAAACTTTTTGTTAGCATACATGCTAAAAACGTGAGAATTAGCTACACAGCTAACAATCATTACTCACGTTGCCCTCTAAACGTGTTATAGCACCAGTTAGAAGAACCTTTCTAGTTCAACCATGATGTGTCGCTATGAATTTACATTTATTTACCTCAAATTCACGCTGTGTTCGTTGCAGCATAACATGATTATGAAATCTTAACGACTGTGGAAAAAGACTGCAGCTTAACTGTAATCATCCCAAATATTTATGATTAGGCGTTTATATAGTAATTGTGATGCCTGACCCAGAGGACTGGACTGGACTGCATCAGGACTGGACAGAGTGCCTCGTTATTTGCAAATGAGGACCATATGTCAAAAATGGTGACAGTGTCCAGTTTCTGTAAAACACGGTCCAATAAACTGACACATAAATGAATTCTGAACAAGACTTTCACTTCATATAAACAATTGCAAAATGTTTAACTATCTACATATCAACATATGCCAGTTGCTAAAAGGTATAGAGCTGTTGTCTTGCTAGCGAATCTAGCGGTAGCACCTTCTGCTAACTAAAGCAGCACTGTTTGTGGTAGCTAGCATGCAAACAGATCCACAAATCATTGAACAGGTTCAGGTCTGCCTGATAGTCTTCTGACACACGTTTAGAGGGTAAACACTCAAACCTGAAAGCACATCTGTGTGTGTGTTAAGCTGCTATCATGCTAGCTATGCTAGCTTTACCAGGCCAGCTGGCTCCACTCTGCTGTTGTAGCTAGCACTGTTAGCCGTGGTTGATGGTTCAGTTTACTGAGGTAAAAATTGAACATTTTGCCTGTTTAATTACAGGTTGAGCTAATTTTAGTGGAAGCTAATGTTGAGTGTTTGCTCTGCTGTGTTTCATCTGCTAATACATGAATTCCTCAGATAAAAAAGCCAAGATGTGCAGAGTTGTTAAGTCATCTTAAATGAATTGATAATTTTTTACACTCTTTGACATCCTGTTATCTTTAAAAATGGACTAAAGTACATTGACATAGCTAAAAACTCCTTTTGTCAGTACCTTTGTCCATATTTTTAGATAACAGTCTTCCATGCAGTGTCAGAAACCACATAAGCAAGTCGTTTTAGGCCTGCAGTTTGCCTGGAATAAGGGGAACATTGTGTAAAACTGATTTACTCTATAAAATAGTAACTTAATAGTGTGCACTCATAGTCCTGTAGCTGTTCTACACCCTGAAACACAATAAAGTCGTTTCTGCTGAGTATTTCACAGACCCTGCAGCCGGTGAGCCTTCAGGCCTCGTTCTGTCGGGTGGCTGTTGTTGTGTTTCTGGCCTGTTGTTTACGACATGGTGAGAGGAGCTCATTAGTGTCCAGTACGCTGCAGACGGAAGCTCCATTCCGATCTCCGCGGTGATAAATCGCTCCACTTGATAATCAGAGCAGGGGTGCGTTATGCGCTCGCCCTGCCGGTGGGAGACGCTGAAAAATTAATGACTTGCATCCGCACTTCCACAAATCTGTCATGTTCTCTCAACACGCTTAATTATTCAGAGACCTCCGCTCCTTTTTAAAGACGGTTAATGTCAGAGTTCAGGAAGGTCTCATACATGACTGTCCTGAGGATGAATCTGCTTTTACTGTCAAAAAGCAGCACTGGAATTCAATTCAGTTAAACTTTAATTACCCCCACAGGGCAGTTTTAAAGCAGGCATAAAACAGAGAAAAACATAAGTATGTAAGAAAACCACTTAATTTGAAAAATACAATGTAATAATATAACTAAATATGTATAGGAGAGTGGAGGGTTATGAGAAATGTTCTGTAAGTTATGCAGGTGGAATAATAATAATAGAAATACAGGTCTCTTATGTGAACAATGGAGGAAAGCAAGTTAAGTAGGGTTGCATGATGTGGACAAAATATAGAGTCTTAATGCCAAATAATGCTACTGTGATATTTCAGATGATATGACGGGTTCACACTTAATATTTGAAATTGTAATGTAATTGCGATGTAAGAAATACTAAGTAAATCACAGCCTTCTATGCATAATTATATTGGGATATCAATATGCAAACTATATGTTGCTTAGCCGAGGTTGGCACTAATAAAACTAATAAAATGTAGTTAATTGTCTTGTATACTGGTTTTATTCTGTGTTGTCCAAAAAAAAAAATCCACAAACATATGAGTGTACTTAACCTTTTAAACTCCTTGGTTCCAAAATGTACTTCGTCATATTCTTCATAACTTTCATATTTCATAAGCTACATTCAAAAGGTGGGTGTCATATGAGAGCTGTAACTGTCTTCTTTCCAGTCAAATAGATGGGTAATGTAATTTTAAACCTTTATAATAAAAGAAGCTGAACTCACAAGTTTGTCTACTGAAAGTCGATCCATTTTTCCACAAATCTGGGCTATAAACTATAAACAGATGGCGTCTCTTCAGTGATCTGCTCTGTAAATATTATTTTTATAAAATAATACAAAGAATGTCTAAGATTTTTGGCTTTCAGCAGTAAATTGTAAACATATAGCGATATGTGTGATCATAAAACACATGTTCTGTTAATTTGAGGGGAGCTTTTACAAAAAATAAATAAATAAATAAAATAAAAATGTACATTTATTTCATGCAGTTACTGAATAATTTGCCTTACGATTTGGTCTTGTAAATTCAAATGGAAAAACCAAAATATACCGATGAGCATAAGAGGTTAACATTCTGAATCTCGTTAGTGCTCATCTTCTGACGTTTTTCTCGTTTCTCTGTTTCAGATTGCCTCGGCTCCACTGTGTTTGCACCTGTTAAGGCTGACATTGCTGGCAACATAACAGTAAGTGCAGCAGTGAAGTATGTGGACATCCCTCCAAGAATTAAGTTCAGGTGTTTTAGCCACACTCATTGCTGACAGGTGGATAAAATCACACAGTCATACAGTCTCCATAGACAAACACTGGCTGTAGAATGGCTCGTACTTCAAATGTGGTTCTGTCATAGGAAGCCACCTTTGCCACAAGTCAGTTTGTGAAATGTCTGCCCTGCTAGATCTGCCCCAGACAATTGTAAGTGCTGTTATCGTGAAACGGAAACATCTAGGAGCAACAACAGCTCAGCCACAAAGTGGTAGACCACGCAGACTCACAAAGTGGGACAACAGATTGCTCAATCACGTAGCAGTCTTCTTTTGCATCAGTCACTACAGAGTTACAAACTGCCTCTGGAAACAACATCAGCTCAAAAAACTGTTTGTCAGAGGCTTCATGAAATGTGTTTTTATGGCTGAGCAGCTGTACACAAGCCTGAGATCACTATGCGCAATGCCAAGCGTTGGCTGGAGTGGTGTAAAGCATGCTGCCACTGGAAAAGTGTTCCCTAGTGTGATGAGTCATTCTTCACTATCTGGCAGTCTGATCGACGAACTTAGACTTAGAACGCTACCTTCAGGAAAGCGTAGCGCCAACAGTAAAGTTTGGTGGAGGAGGGATAATGGGCTGGGGCTGTTTTTCAGGGTTTGGGCTCCTTAGTTCCAGTGAAGGGTGCTGTTAATGCTACAACACACAAAGACATTTTACACAATTATATGTTTCCAACTGTGTGGCAACACTTTAGGAAAGGTCCTCTCCTGTTGACTCAGGACGGTCTGGATAAGCGCATGTGCCAAATGCCATCAGTGTAAATGTTAAAAAGACAAAAAGTGATTGTTGAAGATCTTTGTAATGCCATGTTTATACCAGACAGAGTAACTGCACTTACAATTCTGTCCTTTGTCCTCAGAAAATCAAGGCGGTGTACGACAGTAACCCGGGCCGATTTAAGACCCTGCAGCACATTCTGGAGGCGGAAAAGGAGATGCATGGAGCCGAGTGGCCCAAAGTGGGAGCTACACTCGCCCTCATGTGGCTCAAGAGGTGAGACAAAACAGTACTTCAGTTCTGAATCAGAATCTGTGCACTCAGAATAGAAGTGTTTTGGTTATTAAAGGGTCCACATGCAAGAAAACTACATTTTCATTGTTAGAAATCTGTATAAACAAAGTACATCCAAAGTAACGAAGTATAAACTTTATTAAGTTGAGCCCATGAAGTCCATATGTGGAATTTAAGCCGCAAAAACAACCTTTTTTGAGTTCATCATCATTGTGGTGTCACAAAATTCATTTACATATAACCACTCATTCAGCCTACAACAGTTCTTTCCCTGAAGCGATGTGCAATGTTGTTCCTGGAGACAGTCTGTAACAGAGTTACTGGAGTGGAAGTTGTGGGGAAACAATTAAACGCTGTGCTGTTCCTGGCTGTCGGGAAGTGGTTGGCTCATTATCCACACATCCAGAAGTTTATTTTTCAGTCTAAAAGTAGCTTATTTGCATATACTAGTCTTAATGGGCCCCATAAAGTATAGTAATGGTTATGGTTATGTTCTTAACATATGGATTCAATAGGACACTTCTTTTGTAGTTAGTCAACACTAAAGCATTGTCATAGTAAACAACTCACCTGAATAAGTAAACAGCATGTTTTCATTATTTTGATTTTTATTTCAGGGGTCTGCGGTTCATTCAGGTCCTCCTGCAGAGTTTAGTGGATGGAGAGAGGGACGAGAACAACCCCAACTTGATCAGGGTCAACGTCACCAAGGCCTACGAGATCGCCCTGAAGAAATATCACGGCTGGCTGGTTCAGAAACTCTTTAAAGTAAGGGCAAGTTCAGCAGTAAAGGCCTTTACTCACCGAACACGATTTATTTCTGTGTTTTATTTAGATGACAGTAAATTCATGCACATGTATAACTGATGATGTCTTGGACACCAAACACAATTTCTCAAACGACAAAACGTGACATTATTTTATTCGCCCTCAGTTTGATTTTTGAAAACTTTGGCTGGCGACGTGAACTCACTGGCCAACCTCTGCTGTTGGTATAGCGATAACCAAGATGACAGAATGGCTGTGTTCCTGCAACTGGAACTTTTTTTCACAAACGTCCGAGGATGAGAATCTCCAAAAGCAGCTACAACTGGGCTACGAACATCAAGTTATGTGTGGAAGCACTCAAGAGTTTCAGCTTCTCAATAAAGAGATGAAGCTCTTCACACTTTTCCACAATAGTAGCCCGGTTTGACCATTTGCACATTCTGTAGGTGTAATGTTGGGAGAGACGAAGAGGCAGGATGCACGTGCAAGTTCTTCGATTTATTGAAAACGCTGAGAGAAAAATCAAACTCTAAGAAACAAGTAAGAAACACTCATGACAAAATACTTTGACAGAAAGAAAACCAAAGACAAAGGGACATGAAGTAAACTGGATAACAAACGAGAAATAAGCAACACAGGGCCTGTGAGAACAAAACACCAAGCACAAACACAGCACACAACCAGGGGCATAAATACACACAGAACAAACCAGAAACACCTGGGACTAATGAGAGGGAGGGGCTACAGACAATAGACAGATGAGACATATGACAAAAAGGCAGGACCAGGGAGGAGACAAAGACCAGAACAACAACAAAAGCACATTGCGTATGTAAACATAAGCCCATGGAACATTCCCATTCTCTCCCATTCATTGAGGACTCACTCGCGGGCGCCCTTTGGCGTTCTACCATGCGAACTTTACTTTTATCATGGTGGCCATGCTTTTTTGTTGAAATGCATCACCGTAAATTACTATTTTTAATAAAATAGTTTGGTGAAAGTTCCACAGTGTCCTTAACTCAAATGTAGCCAATCATCAAAGACATGTTTTAGCACTGGAGCTACAAAGCTAACATAGCTAGCAATTAATGGAAGGATATGCCCCATTAATCAGCATGGTGCTAACCGAATGCCTAATTCAGTGCAAACTTGCTTCAAGCCATGCCGAGTTGTGAAGTACTCTGTAATAGACTTATTGCATTTAGGGTGAGCAGAAAAATGAGAAAATATTATTTACAGTTAACTTCTACTGATGACTTACTGCTTTCCTTCCTCTAGGCGGCGCTGTATGCGGCTCCGTACAAGTCAGACTTCCTCAAAGCTCTCTCGAAAGGTCGGGAGGTGAAGGAAGAGGACTGTCTGGACAAAGTGCGCCAGTTCCTGGTCAACTACACGGCCACTATAGACGCCATCTACGAGATGTACACCAAGATGAACGCTGAGCTGGACTACAAAGCGTGATTACAATTACATCACCGTTCCCTCCTACTGACTGCTTCCCAAACTGCTTCTGCTTTCTGATTGGACGTTATTCTCCTAATGGACCAAGCTGCTTCATACTGGACCTCTGAATGATGAGTCAGAGTCCATAAAAGACTGGGTTTCTTGTTAGGTATTATGGTTTATGGACAGCAGGAGTGCTCTGATTTTCCGTCTTTATAAATCTGCTGTCCTCTACAGGGTCAGTGACGGTCAGCGGTAACTCCTGGAGAGAGTTGTGCACTGCAGGGTCTGCTGTGTTATGGGGGTTTGTTTCATAGTCTTTCTCAAAACGAAGAGCAACGAACTGAATCTAACTAGCAGCGCAACTTAGGGCCGATACAAGTCACCACCAAATTATCATTTTCATATCTAACTGTACCGTTATAGTACACTGTAGAAATCTTGATTTCTTGAGTGAAACTGGATTTATTTGCACTGATTTATTGAATCAATCAGTTTTTTAATTTTTCTTTATTCAGTTACCATCCCTAAAACTTGCTCCCCAAAACCAGATTTGGTAAGTTAATGTCTCAGGTCCCAACTTGTAGTACTGCAGTGGAACTTCTTAGGCCATCCAGCTTTACCAGTGTAGGCACTGGAGTTACTTAGACTCTATTCCTCCTGTTTTTGGTCTAAAATAGTCCTAAAGCTCCCAGTTGAGAGGGGTGACCAATAGTAAAGTAGTACAGATCTGTTAGCAATTCTAGGAATGCACTAAAAATTATTAAAGTGATCATTCTAGAAATGTCAGTGTTGTTCTAAAGCTCTCAGTGCAGTTCTAGAATGATCGTCTTAGTTCTAGAACTATCAGTGTAGTTCCAGACTACGAGTGTAGATCCAGAACTAATAGCGTAGTTCTAGAATGTGACTGAAAATATTTTAATAATAGTAAGCAGTGCACTTCTAGAGCTATCAGTGAACTTCTAGAACTATCATAATTCTAGACTGAACTAGACTGATATTTCAGGAACTACGCTGGTGATTCTAGAAATAAGCCATAATGCTAGAAGTAGAATGAAAATTCTATGCTTACCACTCTAGAAGTACAGATATAATTCTCAGACTACACTGATAATTCTAAAACTACCCTGACAGCTCTAGAACTACACTGATACACAGACAGTTCTAGAAGTACACTGATAATTCGAGGACTAAAACGATAACTGTAGAACTATCGATGTAGTTTTAAAACTGTCAGTGTAGTTCTAGAACGATACTTATTTATTTAACTAACAGTCTAGTTTTAGAAATATTAGTGTAGTTCTAGAGCTTTTAGGGTAGTTCTAAAACTGGTGGTGCAGTTCTAGAACTGTCAGTGTATTTCAAGAACTATTAGTGTAGTTCCAGACTATTAGTGTAGTTCCAGAACTACTGGCATAGTTCTAGAATGTGACTGAAAATATTTTTATTACTAATCACAAGCAATTCTAGAACTACACAGATAATTCTAGAACTACACTGATACTTCTAGAACTAAATGGTTAATTCTGGGACCTCACTGATAATTCTAGAACTACACTTTTCTTTCTAAAACTGCACAGATAATTCTAGAACTACACTGAGGATTCCAATGCTGGATTGATACTTCTAGAACAGCACATTCTGACATTATTGCAGATAATTTTAGAACCTCACTGACAATTCAAGAACTATACTGATATTTCCAGAACTAGACTGATTCTAGACATTTCTTTCTGCAAAGGGCTAAAACTTCAAAAACGTCCAGTGCTTTACGTCTCAGCATAACATTTTATGCTTAATCGAATGTACAAAGTTTTTTAAAGCCTTAATCAGGAGAAACCGTTATTATCATTTTCATATGGCTTTATTTGTCCTGTTTTCACAGTTTTCGGTTAAGAAATTTCTCCTGAGATGATTGGGGGGAGGGGCCTTTTAAATCCTGCTGTAGAAGCAATAGAAAGAGCTCACCGGCTCTCGTATTAAAGTGATAATGTGGCAAAGATGTAGTTTCCCCTCTTGCCCCAAACGTAGCTGATCAGCCGAGACCTGTTTGGTGTCTGAAGTTTGCACCGGAGCTACCAGGCTAATGTAGCTTAAATCCACCAGTTAGCATGGTGCTAACTGCACGCCTAAGCCATCACATACTCGCCTCAAACTGCGTGGAGTTGTTCAGTGATCTCTAAATGACTTGACTATGTGGTTTCTGATGCTGTATGACTCACTGCTGTCTATAAACATGGACTACAGCATGTTAGCATAGCTAAAAACATTAGCAGCCTGAATTATTTCCACTTTTCTAGATAACATCATACAGTGTCAGGAGCCACATATAAGCAAGTCATGCAGTTAGTAGATGCTAATTGGTGGGGTGGGGTTCTATAAGCTTCCATTACTTGTTAGCTATTAGCTTCTTAGCTCCATTGTAAAACTATAGAAACAAACTTCAGACACCAACATGCTTTGGCTGAACAACATTTGGGGCGAATCTAGGTAAATTAGATTTTGCTGAACTATCGCTTTAATCGTTCAAAGCAGTTTGTTAGGTGTTTGAATTCATCACTTGTATTGAGTCTTTGTCCTCGTTTACTGTTCAGGGTTTAGAGTTTGTTGTGCCGTCTGAACCAAAGCATAAAATCACATTAACTGTAACTGTTTTAATTTATTTGATATTATTGATTCAGGTACTTTGGTGTCTTTCTTTGGGTGTTGGTTGATGCAGTTACTTATGTCGAATTTCACCTGGAAATGGTGGCCTTACTAGAGTTTCTAATCAGTTTGTCTTTGACTGTAAACTGACGATTGTAAATATGTATTTGAGTGTGTTTGTATGTGTGGGAAGATGATTTTGCGTGATATGGGATTTTTAAGCATCGCAATGTGAACAAACATCTGCACTAAAATATTTCTTTAAATGATTCGTACATGTTTTAAGAATAAAGCTACACCGATGTGGTTTTCTTACTCCTCATGTCGTCTCGTTTCCATTCTTATTTCTTATTTATTAAATTCTTTAGCAATCGCCTCCAAAGTTCAGTCCTAGAAGTTGGTTGAACTTTCTAACTTTCTGCTCTCACAATCCATTTAATCCAAACACATTCAGTGATGTTGAGGTCTGGACTCTGGGGTGGTCAGTCCATTGTTCAGCTTGTTTGTTTGATGTGTCCGTCTCCTTTTCTCAGTGAGGTTCTTCTTGACAGCTACACATCCTTTCAGACCCACAGCGCTGAGTCGTCTTCTCACAGTGGAAGGATGGACAGAAACACCTGTGGATGTTTTCAGATCTGAAGCAGCTTGATTTTCTCCTCTCTCTGATGAAAGCTTTAAGTGCTGTTTATCTGATGGGGGCAGTTTTGGTGTCTACCAGGTCTTCCAGGTGGTTGTTAGGAGTCCTGTTTACTCTGTAGCAGTTTTGGAAACTCCTTTTTCCACTTATTTCCTGTCTTATGTAAATAGATTGTGTTGCATCCAATCTCAGAAGTATCTCCAGAAAAATGAATAACCTGTAGAAGAGTTTGTAGACACCTGCTCCTCCAGCGTTTCCTCTAAAAAGAAGGGTGTTAATTGGGAGTTTGTCTTCATTTGCTGCAGTAACAGCCTCTAATCTTCGGGGAAGGCTTTACAGTAGATGTTGGACCTTTTGCTGTGAGGATTTGGTTGCATTCAGCCACAAGAGCATTGGTGAGGTCACGTACTGATGTTGGATAATCAGTTCTGGATCTCCAACTCATCCCAAAGGTATTGGATGGAGCTCAATTACTCAAGAGAACGCAGTTCCATTGCTTCACAGCCCAGTGCTGGGGGGCTTTATACCCCTCTAGCCCACGCTTGGCCTAAGGCACGGTGATCTTAGCCTGCTCCAGAGCATCCCATTCGATTGGTCGGTGCTTTTCTATGGAGATTATACAATTTGTGAGTGCACAACTGAACACTTTTATATATGTTTATTTTAAAATTATATTTTAAAATCAAATTCTCTTGTCTCTTGACTTAAGATACTGATCTACAGTCTGTTGAATGTAGACTCTGAGCCACTGTAAGCCATTCTGGGCCCCTACAGCTTTTGCTGAGGTTGGAAAGGTCAGAGAGGCTGAATTCCTGTCCTGCAATGCCTCAAATGGCCACAAGAGGGTGGAGCCATCCACATATTTTTTTCCGCCTGAAAAATAAAAGCAGATATGTAATTTTAACATCAAACCTAAGACATAATCATCCACATGATACATTAGCTCGAATATTATGGTTCTCATGCTCAAATAAGCTCCTGCTTACCTTTTTCACACCATTAAAAACTCCAGTTTATCAGTTTGTGTAACAGACATCACACTTGAGAGTGAATTTACACAGCAGTGCGCTGTTATAATCTCAGTGGATTAGTGTACGCAGCACTGGCTTCGTCTCAAACAGAGGTCTTATATAGGCCTGACTGTCCTTTCTCTGCCAGACAAAAGTCCCTTCCTGCCATGTAGAGAAGAAAAAGTCACCTGTTTTATTCTCCTGATGTTTAAAGCAGCAGCGAGTCAATGTTTTATTCTTTATCTCATACTTTTTACCTCATAAAGACTTACTTTGTCTTAATATTTTGGCTCATTATGTCGAAATACAACTTAGCTTCTCAAAACTAATACATATGTAGATTATATATAGTTAACAGTGTCAATTTTTAATGTTTACATGTACTTCAAATATATATATATATATATATATATATATATATATATATATATATATATTCTCAGCACTGCAGTAACACTGATGTGGTGGTGGTGTGTTAGCGTGTGTTGTGCTGGTCTGAGTGGATCAGACACAGCAGTGCTGCTGGAGTTTTTAAACACTGCGCAACACACCATATATACACACTATATATACAACACACGCTAACACACCACCACCACATCAGTGTTACTGCAGTGCTGAGAATGATCCACCACCCAAATAGTACCTGCTCTGGGAGGGTTCATGGGGGTCCTGACCACTGAAGAACAGGGTAAAAGGGGGCTAACAAAGTATGCAGAGAAACAGATGGACTACAGTCTGTAACTGTAGAACTACAAAGTGCACCTATATAGTAAGTGGAGCTGATAAAATGGACAATGAGGGTAGAAACAAGGAGGTGGTCAGTATGTTATGCCTGATCGGTATATATATATATATATATATTCATATATAGGTGTTTTATGTCAAATGTTTGACATGTTATTTCAATATATATCAAAACATTTTATATCAGAATTCTGACTTGAACATGTAATTACTTCAGGACAGTAAGTCACATTTGGGAAAATGAGTCACTATTTCACGGTAAATCAGGGTTTTGAGAAATTAAGACATTATTTCAAGATAATTCAGTCATTATCTCGAGACATTTTGAGATAAACTATTTAAATAACACAGACACCATTTTTTTCTTGGCTTCCACATAAATCTACAGATCTCCTAAGATGACATGGTGATTAATTTTTTAATTAGCTGGGGCCACAAATTACTATATTGAGGCCATGAGTTACAATACTGAGGCCTCAATATAGTAGTTCATGGCCTCAATATTTTGTGGCCTTAATATAGTATTTTGTGATTTTGTGGTGTCAATATAGTAATTCATGACCTCTATATATTAATTTGTGGCCACGCCTTATTAAAAATAATGTATAAATGCCTTTGTAAAATATATTTGCTTATCTCAATAAAACTCAGCCGCCGCTCGAGGCCGCAGATAAACAAAGCTAACTCGAGCTAATTTAGTTAAACTAAGCTAGGCTAACTAGCGCCCCCAGGCGGTGAGTCTCGTCATGGTCTGCTGTTTTAAGCTCTTCTCTAAACGGGGCGGTGAGAAACTCCCGGAGAGAAAGCTGAGCTGCCCGGTCCTCCCTCAGTCTGTCCACTCAGGATGGCTGGACACTTCAGGTCAGTCCTGAGGACCATTAAAACTGCCCTGCAGTGACCGGAAACGCATTAAACCGGATTAAACCGCGATTCGGATCATCTGCAAACTTTCACGGAGGAGTTTCGCTCCAGTCTGTCAGCGGTCCGGATCAGCTGCTGCTGCGGCGCCTCTCCGGTAAGATAACAGTCGTTTCTGGTCACTTCAGACCTGACCGAGCCTTTAAATGACCGAACTGAAAGTCAGCGGATTAATTTAAGGTAATAACGTAACTGACTGGACGTAATCAACGTAATAGATACGCAAAGTACTTCTGGAATCAAACGTAAACAGCTGTGTTTCACTGCGTGGTCGCGCTGTAGGTGAATTACTCTCACTTTTGGCGGAACATGAGAAAATAATCTTGTTTTTTGTGGTTTTACTGTTTTAAAATGTGTTTATTTTTATTATTAATTTAACTGATAAAGTGTGTGATTCATTAGACGGACTGTCAGACCGGGATAATCAAACGTAGATCATCAAACCCAGCAAATCAAGCTCAGACTATGTGTTATCGTAAAGGGGAACTCCACCGAGTTTTCAAAGTTTCTGCATAATTCACTGGTTGAGATCTGAAGTCATTCAGAGGGGTTTGGTGCGCAGTAGTTGTTTGTAGAGACTCGGATGTCTTTACAGTGGTGGTGGTAGGAACCAGGGGTCACCATGATTACAATACAAATATAGACAAATATAAACCACCAGTGAACCTACACGAGTCTTCTGAGTTTTTATATGTTTATGTTCATATGTTTTATATATGCTGATGATGGTACTGATTTATCTGAAAACTTAAGATTTTTTTTGCCCTAAAATACCCTGCAAGTTCCCCTCCGCCATGGATCATTAGTTTTCACTGGGGACTAATTTGTACCTCTTCATCGTAAATGGGTTTTAAAAGATGTTTTAGACCAAAATCTAATCTCCAGATGATTCTAAAACAATATCTGAGACATCAGGCAGTGAATTCATTACTGTTTCATGTAATAACTTTCTGTGAGGGAGCTTTTAGAGGTGGACGTCTGGTTCCTATCACCACCACTGTGAGCGATTCTTCTAGAGCCGAGCGTTTCCCTTCTCACCTTATCAAATCACTCTGAATTCCTCTTTAACGCAGTGCTTTCCCTGATTATTGTTTCTTTACACAAGAAGCAGTGGCTTCTGAACCACTGAGAGTGTTTGCAGTATCCACACTGTATGTGTACATTAGGAGCAAGATTTTTCGGAAGTTATGGAGCCCAGATCACTTTCCCTTTCTCACACGCCAACACGAGACGAGAGGTCTCGTCCCAATTCTTGTTTTTCAGTGGATCAGGATCCACAGTGGTCCTCAGTGACAGTCCAGGATGTATTTTTTTGGAGCTCCACTTATACAGGCCTTGAGAATGAAGATGTTTTCTATGTCTGCATGTTACAGTCTCAGAAAGAAAGGCACTAAACTGTCACTGGGGTGGTTCCCTCAAGGCTCCATCTCAGTACCTTTAGTCAGGGAACATAATTGTACCATAATCCATTGAAATTATATTTTCTAAGCTGTACTGACTCCACACACCCGTCTCGCCTCCAGCCTTTTTATTGTTCTGTTTTAAAACATTTCGTTTATGAAAAAGGTACAAATACAAACTTTTCACTTGGATGAACTTATTTGCGGTGCATATTTAGACCTTAAAACCACTGTTGTACCTTTGAGTGAACATTTATATTGTTTGGACCTTGATGAATGAAAAACGTACCTGCACTGAACCTTTATTCCTAACAGTGAACTAGACTGTTCGTACTGTTTAGTGAATGCTGTTTGGGATTAAGATGGACTGCTGGACTGCTCTATAACACTGGGAATTATGGGGCATTTGTCCATGGGGCTACATTCTCTGGTAGTGCTGGATGTTGTGTCACCTGTACTGTGCAGTTTCAGCCTCGGCTGATTAATTAAAGTACTGTTTATGTATTTGTTACGTTGGTGTTCGGTTCTCTGTTTGTGTTTGGAAGCTTTTTAAGCCACTAAACTTATAGCCTAAACAGTCTTCATCAGCAAAGGCCTTTAAAAAGAACAAAGCCTTGGTAACTTTGTAGGAGAACAAAGGAACAAATAGAAGCACTCTTAACTTTGACTGGGAGTTAATGGAACACAATTTTGAGACATTTCTATTGGTATATTCATCTATCAGATGCCTCAGAAATCACAAGTTGAGGAGAAAAATGCTGAGTGATAAAAGGCTGGTGCACCATGGAAGCGCGGCGTCTGGGGACCACTAGACTTATTTGGTAGTAGAGTTAAAACTGGGGAGCTCAGAGCATCACAACTGTTTGTTGTGGTCAGTTCTGGCAGTGAACGAGGAGGGAACACCAACGCTGCTGCTGCTACTTCTGCTACGGCTTCCGGTGTGGTCCTCTTCTTCCTCCTCCTCGTGTTCAGATGGGCCTCCATCCTCTGCTTCACTGTCTCTAACTCGGCTGTGACTGAGCTCCACTTGGCCTGTGTTTCACCCTCATTGCTGCTGTCCATGATCAAAAAATTAGCAAACTAACCAAATAAAATAATTTCAATAAAATAAATAAAATCAACCAACCAAAATAAACCGTGATAAATAAAATGAGCTCTCTAATCCATTACGCCCACAGCGTTTTAGGGCAGTTCTCCTAGTTTTAACTTCTCAGTGTGATCATATTAAAAGGCTACTGTCGGGCGATCGTTTTGTCGAGGGCCGTTTAGCTGCTGGTTGTTTTGCTCAGCATCCAATTTGGTGGCCTGTTTAAATGCCAGCGCATAAAATTAGCTCTGTTTCCTTTAATCTGACGGTGCTGGCTGATATCGCTGGGCAGCACACTACAGATACGCAGCCGAGTCTGGCATTGACAGTTTCTGAGCCCGACTTTTTAGATTTATAATTACTGCCACAGCAAAGGCAAAACGGTAAACCAGCAGTTCTTAAATAAATCTGGAGAGTTCACTGTAGGTTAGTTAGGCTTCTTGTGACACAATGAGTCTATATCAGTCTGTGTGAGTCTATATAAGTTTGAGACAACAACATCCACTCCCCAGTTTATATATATATATATATATGTGTGTGTGTGTGTGTGTGTGTGTGTGTGTATGTATAGCTTCTCCATTTTTGTCATTTTTCAGTTTTTGACATAATTTTAAAGTGCCTGTTGCTCTTTACATTGTATGTAAATTTCATGATGAATGGACTAAAAGAAACGACCCAAAATGACTTGGAAAAGTCTGGTTCCATTGACTTACATTAAAAGAAAAGTAGGTTTTTTCCTTTTCCTGTAAAGTTACCATTTTGGAGATACAACAATAGCTCTCTTTTTCTCTCTCTATATATATATATTTGTGTATATATTTGTGTATATATATATATACACGAGAGAGAGAGAGAGAGAGAGATAGATAGATAGATAGATAGATATATAATAGCCTTCTATAACCTTCTAAAATCTTTGTGACTTTATTTACAGATACTGCATTTATTTGTCTGTTGGAGTTAAAGGCAGTTAAGCTCTGCCCATTCATGCTGAAGTTATAAGGAGTGTTTTATATTGGACTGATTTTTGAGCAAGGCACAAACAGGACGGCCAATCAGAACAGAGATTATCCTGTGTTCTGTAGGTTAGTATTAAAGGCACAGTAATAAAAACAGCCTGTTTAATTGTAAGGGACGAAGAGAGGTTGGGAAGTGGTCATATGCTGGGAAGTATAATATACAACATGAATTATGACCTTTGGTACATAAATATACACAGAAGTCACACAGTTTATGTAAAAATGACATAAAAGCTCACAAACAAGATGCTCTGCCTCATATTTGCTTTATAACTGTAATTATAGTCCATTACGGGAAGAACCAGGCCTTCCTGAAAACCTTGGTGTTTTCATAAGGCAGCTGTACTTTTTGTAGAGTAACTTATTTCTGGTGGGGTCTCTTGGACTGTCATGGGGTTCAAGGCTGGTTCCTCTGGGGGGAATCAACCCTGGCCATAAGATGTGGTCAATGCTGGAAGTGGCTGAACTCAGCGCAGCAGTGGACGCGCTCTGAAATGTTCCCACAGCTCAAAACCTGCTACCACAGGAAAGAGCACTGTCTAATGGGGGTCCTCTCAGGGGGCTGTGGAATGTCATTCTCAGTCTGGAGGAAGTTTTGGTTCCACTCACAGCAGATGAGTTAACAGCTTCATCCAGCTGATAGTGAAATCTCAATCAGGAATTACAGAAGCGGTGAAAGATATGAGTTAACTGACAGCAAGACTAAGAAGACTCCTGTTTCCTGGGTTTGAGCGAATGTGATTAATTTACTGCCATATCGACAGTCATGACCAGTGACGATGTTTTTGTGTTGACACAGCGATTGGTAACTTTGCTGTTTAGTTTCTTTCACTGTATCAGCAAACGTGAGAGTTTGAAATGGAGGTATGATGCACAGTCACAAGATTCACCACAGAGCAAATCTTTTTAGTTAATGTAACCAGTTTATCACTGAATGCGTTTACATGCATGTAAACGGATTTCTGCAGTTATATCTGATTATTTAAATGGTCAGGTTAACTGCTTGCTTGGATTTCTTTGATCAGAGTAAGGTCTAAAAACCGGATAAAGAGAGCTGGAAATAGCTCATGCATGTAAACTCTTTCTCTGATTTCTTTCGGATTTCTCAGTCTGCACATGTGTGAAAACAGACAGCGGTACCGGAAATACGCGAGCAGCGTTGCCGCGAGACGCAGCAAAACACTTTTGGAGCGACACTGAAACCAAATACATGATTGACGAAATGAATGATTTGAATATTCTTCATCTTCTGGATGATGTTTGTTCATATTTTCAGGTAAAGTAGCTCAATGTTTTTGAAGGCGACCTGAAGACGGCAGGATGGCAGCAGTTCACTCGTATGGATCTGTTTTGAAATGTACAAAAATAGAATACTTTATCACGGCACTGAACTACGTTAGGAGATCTTAACACACTAACACTTTGGCGTAACCTCCACCGATCCTCCATACTCTCCACACAGGAGGTTGACTCAGTCCCTCTTCCCTGCACGTCTTGTTTTGATAGCCTGTCGGTTCCTCCACCTCTGGGTTTTGTCTCTCAACTCTGAGTACGAGGACTGGAGAGACTCTCAGTAGAGGTTAAACAAAAA